AGTGCTAGTAAGTTATCACGGTACTTCTTTATATGAAGAAAAATACTTATTAGTTAATTAACAATGTAATAAGCAGCAATTAGCCACAAACTAACAACAAACTAACTTATCAACTAATAGTGTACTTAAATACTAATTGATAAGTGCTTAATCAATTACTAAGTAATAGCTAATGCTTAATGAAGAGTTAACTAATAACTAAATAATGGGAAACTAATAGTTGATTATTATATATTTAATGATTGATTAGCGACCCTTAATGTAAAGTGTTACCCCTATAATTCCGCATACACTTTTACTCTGAACATCTAACCTTGCTTGCATTTTGTCTACGTGCCCCCAAAGTGGCCAACAATTGGCAAGGAAATCGTTTCACTTTGCTGTAATGTAAAGCTTAGTGTTTTAGTCACTGAAAATACAAACATATACTTCTGCCATGTATCTAAATTTATGCTAAATATGACTTTCAGTGATATAAAATGTTATCACCTGATGCCCTAGAGGGCTCCTCCCAAAGCTATTGCTGTATTCCTTTTATGCTCACCTCTGCATTTATTCTCAGCTGCATTATGCAGGAATATGATTAGGAGTGGGAGAGATGAATGGACTCGATCAGAAGTGGTCTGCTCTAAGAGCCAGCCAGGAGAAGCCTCACTGGACTCACACACTTGGACAGTCCTAATCTGCATCTCTTTTGCCCCTCCTTACATCTGTTTACAAGGCTTTTAAACTCAGGGCAACATTTAAGTGGCTTCTACTCAAATGTAAATGTGTAAATGTGTTTATGCACTGTTTATGTACTCATAAAATTCTTACCCTGCTTGAATAACCCCTTAAACTCTACACTTGTAAACAAAATAAAGGTTCAATTGTTCCTGGCCTGGAGAAACAGTTCTAGGAAAAACCTTTAATGGGCATAGAACCTTGATATTATGTGGAGTTTCTTTTGCACTCGCACTTCTCATTTACAAACAGGATCTTCAAAGGACCATCTATTAAAAGGTTCTTTAGGGAAACAACAGTGGGTTTTTTATGGTGTCGCTTCAGAGACCCCTTTCGGCACGGTTGTTATTAAACAGGAATTCCATCAGTTTATCAAAATCACTGCAAAGTTCAATTATTGAGGTGTAAACAAAGTCATTTAGACTTTAGGTTTGATGTGAAATGGTGCATTATAGTGAGACTTAGCCACTCAGAGTTCCTTATTATGGTGCTGATAGGAACCAGAGATTGCAATGTCTACAAAGCAAATATAGCCATTTTATTTTCCTACACCTACACATGCCTTTTCAGTTTTTATTGTAGTGTTGATAATGGAAAAACAGTGGTAAATCTGAGAAATATGTTTTCTTTGGAAACTATTTCATCCTGCGTGTATCTGTTTAGATAAAATGCATTAAAAATAAAGTTTAATTCTCACTGTCAAAACTACACAACTTCATCATAGTAGTTACTGAATAATTCATAGTAGTAATTGAACTCTCAACATTCATGACTAGTAAGAAATGTGATTATAAGCCCAGATTTCAAGGAGTTAATATAATTGAATTGATGTTGTCAGTAGACTTAAGTAGTCATAATTCCCGTCATTATTGTGGCATCATACATCTTTAGCTCATGGAAGATGTGTATATCCCTGGGCTTATACTACTTTTGTGCTATAAACTCTTGCAGAAACAAACAATTGGCACATGACTCAATATCAGACATTGCCATCTGCTTTATTGACTTATCTTGGACAGACTGGTTCCTGCTGCAGTGCTGGTGTCCGTAGCCTCTGTTGCTCAGTTTGCTCTTGATTACGGGTTGGGGAAAGTAAATGCTGCCATGGATGCAACTGTCAAGCACATCATGATTTTATTGGAAAACTGTGAAAGGTTGAGGCAGGCAGCCATCTCAGTGGGGGAGCATTAATAGAGGAGATGTTTGGCCTGGCGTGGTGGAAAGGGAGAGATGAAAAGCTCATTAAAAGTCGTGTAGTGATGCGGATCAGAGCGACGCGGGAGCAGGGGATGCAATAATGGAAGGTGCGACCTCATTGTTTCAGCAGACTGCATGCTGCTGTGTACAGGACTGCTTTGGGAGATGAGCAAGAGAGAGGTGAGAGCATAGATCACATACATCACATCTGGTGTTCTGGCAGCTGTTGAAAGTGCAACACTTGCAACTAGCTGGGTCAATATTTGTTTAGCTTGTGGTGACAGGTTAAAGCAGTGGTTTGGGCAAAAAAGATAAAAACAGTAGTAGCTACCATCAACAATGTAAGGCTGGGCGATATGGGAAAACTAATATCATGATATCTGAAGACATTCTCACGATTCACAATATGTATCACGATGTTTCATATGTGGAAAGTTTGATAAAAAAAAAGCTCCACTAGTGCTAAAAATACTATCGAGAAGTATGAATATAGTGATTTTATACAACGTTTCTCATACTGCTCTGTACTAAATCCAACTAAACGGGACTAGTTATTAATGTTGTGATACTCGAGTCTAGTCTTGGTCTTGAGAGAGTAAATTAACGGTCTCATTCTTGTCTCACTCTAGACATCATTAGGACTCGATCTTGTCTTTGTCTCAAGGTCAGGTCGAGCGTCAAATGCGGGACGGAGAAGCCGGTCTGGCTGAACCAGCATGCTAAGTAGCTGATTATGTTCACCTGTGCCTTGTTTCTGCCAGCCTACTTATAGCCATCTCTTCCTCCAGTAGGGGCAGAGCCCAGAGAGAGAAGGAGACCTATGAAGGCGTGAAAGCTGAACTGAGCTGAACTGAACTGAAAGAAAGAAAAGAAAAGAAAGGACTGAAAAGTCCCAGTGGGCATCTTGTCTTACTTTGTGGGCTGAAAAGCTGAGTGTTTTGCGTTGTGTATAAATAATAAATAAATAAAAGAAAGCTCTCTGTCTTCACACCTGCCCCCGGCGTCTTTCTTCGTTGTTACATATATATATGGACTATATATTATATATTGGCCTTTTGTTCGATGACTGCTGGGATAGGCTCCAACACCCCCCTGCGACCCAGAAGGATAAGCGCTATAGATAATGTGCGTGTGTGTGTGTGTGTGTGTGTGTGTGTGTGTGTTTTATATATTGTAAAATAGAATATTATTTACTAATATGTCATGTAAAATGGATGATAAAGAATGTACAATGAACTACAAACAAATTTCAGTTTTGCCTCTGTCTGATACTTATTTTTATTTTTAGATTCTGAAAAAATAATAATTATTAATAATAATAATTAATCTGGTCTCGGTCTTGATTTAGACCCGACAGCTACAAAGTCTCGGTCTTGACTTAGTCTTGATGTATTCAGGTCTTGATCTTAACTGTGAATCATTTTGGTTGTCCTTGACTACAACGCCACTAATTATACTCTCTGTGTTGAAACATGCTTCTATTCGGTGTTCTTTAAGTAAATTCAATTTTTTGCCAGAACAACTAAAATTTGAACGTTTAAACGTCAGTAATTTCTCAACCGCATGGTGTGTTTTCTGTACATTGTAGAAGAAAAAATTTTAATTCTACTGACATAAAAGATTAAAAATTCAGAAGGTTTTAAACATGGATAAGCTATGGGCTGTCAAAAACTAATTCCCTCTCTCTATATAGATGTCCTCAATGACTCAGATCCATAATTACGACATCATGAACCAAATTATAGGATAGAGAGGAGATGATTGTGGGGTGACTTATAGCCATTTTTTAATTAACATTATTGCCGCTATCTGTCATTAGATTATAAAGCTATTAACATTGATTTGAGGGGGCTAGAACACCAGGGATCTTTGATGTGTGTTGTTCAGAGAGTTCTAACCCCACTATGATTGTAAAGGCTGGCCTGGTACTTGAAGAATATGCATTGACTGAAATTAATTTGGTGTCCTATTGACTTTATGCTCAATTAGATTTCTTGTGATGTTCAGAGCTTAACAGTACAGTGGTCTTGGCCTGGACATATGGTTCTGGGAAAAGGCTTTAATTAATATAGAACTTTTACATTGTGTTCTTGAAACTTTTTAAAAAGATAAAAAGGTAAAAAGACACTCACATCACTCACACCAAAACTAGTTCTTCTATGGAAAGAAACATTTTTGGTGACTAGATATTTAAAGGAGACATATTTTACTCTTTCCAGAATGCAGAACAGGGGAGTTTATGAGCTGTACCCCCCAGGAGCTGCAGAGGGGAGACTGAAATTGTGCACTGAAATTTGCAGAAAAGTGCCATGTTTAAGTGTGTTCATTGTAAAGAATACATTTACTTATTTTTATTTAGATAGTCACTAAAACATGTAATTTAGGTGTTCAAACTTTTGCATATGACTCTGTGACATTACATTGTTTTATACAGTCCTGTCCATCAGAGATGTCCATATGTGTAACGGCAGAGGCGATGGTTAAAGGGGGTGTGTTTGTTCAAGTGGGGGTGGGATGCTTGATCAATGTGATGCAGAATTGAGCTGCAAATCCTAACAGCGTGTATAATCACAAGCTTTCTGTAAGAGAGAAATGCACCAAAATTGCTGACATTTCACAACTTTTAGTTTCTTATGTGATAGATACCATGACAAGTAATGTATATACATACTATCAAGGATAAAGCTACTTTGTTTACTATGTCTCCTTTAAGAGTACTAAGTAGTTTCATTTATTTTATGTTTTGTTTTCTGTTGCTCAAATTCACTATTTCAATTTACAGCACGACTCAGCTCAAGTGTAATTAAATTAAAACTAAATTGCGAGTAGCTTGTTGCTACATCTGTTCTGAAAATTGACTCCTCCCCATTTTTGTTTCCCAAAAAACATCTTCACAGAAAACATATTTCAATTAGTAGACACTAGCCACATCCATGTCACTGGAGTTGTGTTGTATATTAATAGACAGGATAACGTTGTCATCATGTCATGTCTAATCAATTAGTCATACAGTGCTGATTAATTGCATGGGCACTTATGATCTGAGGACTGATCGTTTCTTTCCCTCTTCTCCCCTGTAGTGACTTTACGCAAGCACAGTGCTTCCCACTGGCGTATGCAGAACATCGCCCAAGAATCCGTTGACAGCTCTGATGATGAGTTCTTCGATGCTCGAGGTTAGTGTCATTTTCTTTCCTTTGTAACCTGGTGTCCTGAATTCACCTCTCCAGTGGTTGCTTCTGTCCTCTCTCTCTTGCTCCCTGTCTCTCTCTCGCTTGCGGTCTGTCTCTCTTTTTCTTTTGTCTTATATTTTATTAGGTGCCACTCTATAACCCTGACACATCAGAGTCAATCTGGTGCATACTAATACTGCTGTAACTTCACATTGAAAGAACTTTTGGCCTTTCTAAATAGAGAAAAGATGAATCAAACTGTAGAACCTGCCTTTTAGCATTCAGTAGATTTGTTTTGTCATGCTAGTGGTGAATATCTACAGCTTTAATAATAGAAAAAAACATTTGTGGAATTCTTGGTTTATTTACACTAATATCCATGTCAGATTGACCCAATTGCAGTGTATAATGCAGTCAGTAAAGCAATCCAAAAACTTAAATCTGTTTCTGCTGTTATGAACCATCAAAAAATCCATGCTGCAGTGTTATCCATGCTGTTGAAGCTCCACATGTAATCTAGTTTCATAAGCCAGACTTCTTACTATTGGTATTACTATTACTATTACTTCTAATTAGCCAATTAACAGAAATCAGAAATGGCAGGATATTTTGTTATTTAAACAAATGAACAGTCAGGTTTTGCTATGTTGTTTTTACTGGGTACATTTTTAGAAGAAGGGATCACAAGATAGGCAGATGGGCAAAATGCAGGCAAATCCATCAACTAGTCATTAATAAACAAAGGCAGGTAAAAGTAAAATATCAGAAGAAATATCAGAAGAGCTAATCACAGATAGTCAATCAGAGTAAAGCAGGCAAAATTCTGCAAAAAATACTGTACAATATATGTCAGACAGTCTAGGTAATTGTGGAAGGAGCATCTGAGGCTGATACTATACCTAATCTGATGCTGGCTAAGTACATACCTTATTCACTTGGGCACAATGTAAGAAACGCTTTCACTCTACCCACATTTTATCGCACTAACTATGCACCATTTCTGTAAGACTGCAGCCCCTGTGTTAAACTCTTTACTTGCATTTGCCAGTGAGAGTATGGTCTGAAATACTGGGTTTAGCTGATGACTTTGATGAAAGCTGTGCTCAGCAGGCTAAAGAGAAGGTCATACTGAGTTGTTCAAGATTTTAGGTGCGACATTATAATGGTGTGAAATGTTCCAACTCATCCTCATTCAGCTGCACTCACTGATGGAGGTCTTCAGCCATTATTACATCTGCAGTGACTTCTTGAAACGGAACATTTAATCTGGAAATCCCTTGAAATCAGATGCCGCATCCTGGCTGTGGGGTAGTTGATTGTAGGAAAACATTTGTGCTACAGGAGTTTTATGGCATATATTTGCTATTACGGAATGGATGTAAGGGGTAAGGCTGGGTTGCTGGTTCAGTGAACTGAAATAGAAGCCACCATACTATAGTCAAAATACCATACTGCTGCTATATTGTTTAGAGGAGACCCTGTTATGAATTTTTATTGATTGATTCTGATTGCTTTACAGTCAAATTGCCAGAATGAATGATCTTAATTTACTTTTACTTGTTATTCTTTGTTTGACCTGAAGCTCTGAGGCTCTGAGGGTTAAATGAACACATGAAACAGAATAGGTCGAGTCCTTTTTTGTAAGCCAAAGTCACTATATAAATAACAAGGCAAAATGATTTGCTCTTGAATAGGCCAACTGATGTTATTCTTCGAAAAATCAGTGTTAAAGTGCTACAAAATACAGTGTAAGTGTACTTATCTGGCTCATGTTATTTATCAAATTGCATCATCAAACTGCAACACAGATCAGCCAAAATCAAAATAACAGATTGACTGATTGCAGATTGTGTGTTAGGAGTAAAAATTTACCAATTCTGATGTTGGCCATTTTCAATCTTGTCTGATTTACATAATGCACCCCAACAGTGCTGCATATTGTGACTGCGATATACCTTACATAAAACAAACATAATACAAACAATCAGTGAACCAGCTGTGATCTGGTTAAGGAGTGGCCTGCTATATTTTGATTAAAATGATTTATGTTTGTTGGATTACATGACTTGCCTTGATTCATCAAAAAGCATAAAAACTCCTCTCGAATGTTTGAGGTGGGTCAGAATGCTCATAGCCTACAATAAAAAATGTAGTGATTTGTTAGTGGGTCATTTGCATATTGCAGCCTTCTGTGATGTTTTATTGCAAAGACCAATTTTGGGGTAATGATTAACAAATGATAAATATATTGAATAATTACTGAAGCCATCATACGCTTAACACACGTGATGGTCTCACATTATGGTATCAGTATCAATAGTTAGATTGATCTCTACCATTATGTGAATTAGACCAATCAATGTACATATGCCATACATACACCCATTGATGTCTTTAAGTATCTTTAACATCAAGATATTTAAATGGTTCCTGGTTTTTGGCTCATCCTGTATTTGAATATATGTGGCTAGATATGCAGTAGATGGTGATTGATCATGCAGTGGTGCGTGTTGTACAGATTTAGAATCTCTTCTGGCGCTCAGAGGGAGTCCCAGAGAAATACCCACCGCTTGGCTCGCTCTGTGAATAGAGGTGTAATTAAAATGGGCGATTCTCCATTAGAGGTGAGAACAGCACTGCAGCCTCTCTTGAGGTTTCCAGGGAAATCAGCAAGCAGCATATTTTAGTAAATGCACAGGCACTCTTTTAATTATGGGCTTGATGAAGCTGCTTTTTTCTAATATTAGGCATTGGCCATGACTGTATTAGTGTTTCATGAATGTTCTGTGCTTTTTTGTATTGGTGCTCTAGCGAGTAGTATTACCTTATAGTGTAAATATCCTTTTGTGGCCCAAATGACTGTATGCTGTAATGTATTCAGACTTCTTCCTCTAGGCTGATGTCTGTTATCCATGGATGGACATAAAGTTGTAGTGGGCTCAGTCATTATTGGAAGCAATGTCCAATATGCTCAGCAGTGCACGTTTCCACATTCATCCTTAATGGGACACATTTCTTATTCATCCTTCAAGAGAGTCCTCTGCCCTGTCATATAACACAGCTGTTCAATTAAAGTCCAGATGTTATCTGCAGATAAGGATGGTGAAGGCCCCAGTCAAATCTCTCCTCTGTTTTCATGCAGATTATAATTATTTTTCAATTGGTTTCTTTGAAGAGCTTTTGCATGAACTGTCAGATGCACAGACAGAGATGGTTGTCTTGTCTCCTGGTTCCTATGCATGAACCAGGATCAGACACTAAACTGAGAAACTCATCATTTCAAGACAGGGCTGCACAATATACTGTTCCTTAATCATAATTTCTACATCAACCTTTGCAGTACTGACTTCCTGGCCAATCACAGATGTTCTTTGGATGAATCAAGATTTTCACTTTCAACAAATATAAACAATTCTAGTCACAAATAATGCAGGCCAGGCCTTAACCATGTCACATCTATAATGTATTTTCAATAGAATATTGAACTGCTGTCTTAAAGGGGCACTCTGGTCTGAAACTAGCATTAAAACGTTAAAATTTTCTTTAAACTGGAAAATCTCACTCTATAGGCTAGTGTGTTACCACTGTAGGATTCAAGCAAGCATGTTAACAACAGATAACAACAGACCCTTTCCATTGCTTGTGTGATAATTAGATCCATAGACATCAATTATCTGGATTTATTTGTATTTGTTTTTTTTATTTATTTTTTTTTTATATATTTATTTTTTTTTAACATATTGCAGTATTTATCGCAAAAAAGGAGAATATTGCCATGTGATGTTTTCCACATTATTGTTCAGCCCTATTTCAGGATAAGACTAGCATGTCACTACAAGGGACTAAATTGGGATAAAAAGATCACAAAAAACAGTAAATATGCTCCCCGATTTTGTTGTTTTTCCCTCTTGAGCAGTATTTGCATGATTGCACCGTGTTCAGGTTGACCAAAATACACTTAAGGAGCAAGAAGTAGAAGAAGGCAGAGGAAGGGATAGAGAAAGAGAGAGCGAGAGACTTAGTCAGACAGTGCTTGAGTGTGTGGGTATTATTTCTCTGGGCCTATGACAATGAACCTCCAGGACATTTATTTATTTTCTTATGATTAATGCCATCCCCCATGCTATAAAGCAGCCGGAGGAATAAAGCCGTGAGAAATGTATTACGCTGTCACAAAACATTACCAGGGAAATGCTAAAGACATAAGCTGCCCTAGCTACAATAGAGGCACAGAGGAGCTGCCTCAACATTACTCTGTCAGATACAGAATGAGTACATTTCACCAGTTCTCCATGGGCTGTGACATAAAGTAGATATTTGGGCATTTTCAGGAGTTGCCTTCAGTGTTGATATAGGTGAGGTTAAATCATGAAGCAGGCGTAACTAAGAAAAACAGTCTGAAATGCTGAAATGTTAGGAAAGCTCTGTTAGTGCTGCACTCTTCACAATAAAGGTGTCAGAAAGGGTTCTTTGAAGCGATGGCATATAAGAACCACTTTTGTTTCCTGAAAGACCCTTTCAGTGAATTGTTCTTCAGAACACAGTTTCTGTAAATGAGATGAGCAAGTTAGAAAAACATTTTAAGGTTTAAAGAACCTCCACAGAATGTAAAGGATCTGTCCTGATGAAAGCTTTTCTGTTGAACCATACATCCATACATAAATCAGTTATATTTCATATATCAATATCTCTTTTTCTGGGTACTTCTAATTATTTTGAAAGTTACATAAAATACATAAAATCTGAATCATTCTTTCTGAATATCTGATTTCTTTTTGATTAATGTTTACAATACTGTTTAACCCTCTACTGTACGCATCATGAGAGAAATCAACCTCATTGTTAAATTCAAAAACATTTTTAAGTAATAATGTGTGCAGGGGTCCTTTTGGGGTATGTTGCCCTGAGGCAACATTGTGTGACAATAGGAAGAAATGATATAAAGTTGTTCCCTGAAGTGGTGAGTTCTGGCTTGTGACTGGCTAAATCCATTCCACTGCCCT